TGAGCGAGAACCTGGATCATCTACGCTTCCGCAACCGCAAGATGAAGCGCAACGAGCTCGCGGTCATCGAGCTCTTTGACAGCACAAAACAAGGTGCGCTTTGGAAGGTTGGTGTGTTGAGTGTGTGTGTGTGTGTGTGTGTTGTGTGTGTGCGTCGTTTGTGTATTGATGGTGTTGAATGCCACTTCAGTGATGAGCTTCCTTGCGATAACGCACGTTGTTCACCACCACCACCACCACCATCGCCACCACATCAGCTGAAGGAGAGCGGGCAGAGCTTCTCGTCGCTGAGCGGTCCAAAGCCGATTGTGATGAAGCAGTCCTACATCTTCCCCTCTGCCGTCACCGCCATGGGCGTAACTCGCACAGACCAGGTCGGTAGGGTTAGGCGTGTGTTGTGTTGTGCTGTGTGTGTCGGTGTGTGTGTGTGTGTGTGTGTGTGTGTGTGTGTGTGTGTGTGTCGGTGTGTGTGTCGGTGTGTGTGTGCGTGGTTGAATGTTGCTGCTGACCATCCACTGTGTTGCTGCTGACCATCCATTGTGCTGCTGATGACCGTCGTCCTCAACTGTGCGGCTCCTCACCTTTTTTCCACCACGTCTACAATGGCCGCTGCCCACGTCAGGGTGTGACGGAGAAGCAGGCGCTCATCGCCCTGGCCAACGGCGGCATCCTCGCGCTCAACAAGAAGTGGTTCGACGCACGCAGGTCAGTTGTGTGCACTGTGTGTGTGTGTGTGTGTGTGTGTGTGTGTGTGTGTGTGTGTGTGTGTGTGTGCTTACATGCTTGCTTATCTGTTTGCTGGTCTGTTTGCTGGTCTGTTTGCTGGTCATCTCATCGAGGTTTGCCCCCCCCCCAGCTCACACCGCTACCACCACCACCACTGCACGTCCACCCACCAAATAACGCATTCCCCACCACCACCACCAACCATCATCAACCACCGCAGGCCGGCCACCCCAAAGGCGCAGGAGCGGGTGGTGGATCTTCCCAAGTACGAACCGCTGCTGGTGGTGAACACGCTCGGCATCATCACATATGGCCAGGTCTGCGCACACACACGCACGTGATGGTGTATGGGTGGCTCCCTAACATGGTCGATGCTGGAACTGCTTGTGCAAACAAGTCGTTCCGTCCCTCCACCACTTCCCACTCACACACTCACTCACGTTCCCCATGTCCACCAACATCATCATCCTCCCCCCTACCCCTCAACCCTCTGCCCACACCCCATCGCCTTCTCCACCTCCACGTTCATATGGCCAGACTGTTTCCCGCGTGCGCGACATTGTGACGGCGCCCTCTGGCCTTGAGTCGACCAGTCTCGTCCTCGCACACGGGCTCGACACATTCGTCACCAGGGTGCGGGCATGTGGTGTTGTGGCTGTAGTTGGTGGTGGCTGCGATGTTGGTGTGACGAGCTCCGTTGTTTGGCGTGCAATCGGATGACACTCCCCATTCGTATTCACACACACACAATTGCATACACGCACACACACACACAATTGCATACACACAACACACACACACACACGCACACACACACACACGCACACACATGCAGGCCAACCCGTCTGGGCAGTTTGACTCGCTGGACCGCAGCTTCAACCGCGTGGCGCTACTGGGCACGCTCGCCGCGCTCATTGCCGCCACATACGCGCTCTCCAAGATCAGCGCGCGGAAGCAGCTGGACAAGGCGTGGCAATAAACGATGCCGCTGCGTGTACATGTGTGCATGCGTGCGGGTGTTTGTGGTGGCGATTGTGGTTGTACTTGCGTGCCTGCTGTATGTTGTTGGGCCATAGAATTTGGAGATGCGACAGTACACACACTGACTGAAGTCGCGGGTCTCTTCTATTAGCTAAGCGACGACATGAGAAAGCAAGTGCAGAGGAGGGGGTGCAATCATATGTACACACAACGAAGGTTTAACGGTTGAAAGCGCACAGAGACGGTGGGCAGAGGCGAAAGTAGAGACGGTGGGCAGAGACGGTGGGCAGAGACGGTGGGCAGACGCGAGAGTAGCGACGACACACACACACACACACACACACACACACACACACACACACACACACACACACACACACACACACACACACACACACACACACACACACACACACACACACACACACACGTGGCTAGTTTTCGCTCCACTTGTGCTTGCACTCCTCGCAGCAGTAGAAGACGGTCATGGGCTCGTCGGCAGATCGCGTCTGCATCTCAAAGAAGAACGCCCGTGCATGGTCGCACTGTGGGCACCGCGCTGTAATTGCAAACGTGCATGCGCATGTGTGTTGATTGAGGAGGGTGAGGGAGGAAAGGGGAGAAGTATGTGCAGCGACGTAAGCGGGCAACTATGCACAGCGTCAGCTACACGTGTCCTACGCACACATATATCACACACACACACATACATCACACACACACATACACACACACACACACACACACACACACACACACACACACACACACACACACACACACACACACACACACACAGCACAACACACGCACCGTCTGTCATGGAAAGGCCCTCTGTGGAGGAGCCGATGATGTCCTCGACTTGTTTTGGGTTTCGGGACTTGCGGGACGACACGACAGGCATGTTCATCTCGTGCTTGTACGGGCACGTGCGGCAGGCAAAGTGCGTCCCGCACTCCGCAGACGTGTCCAGCACGAGCTGATTCGTGCACAGCGGACAAAACATAAAGAACATGGTGGCAAGTTATTCGTGGTCGTGAACCCCAGAGACGGAGAGGGGCGGCCGCTGGGGGGAGACAGGAGACAGATGCAAGGGCAGTGGGTGATGTTGGTTGTGTTTCGTTACACAATGAACAGCAGCAGCGTGCGTGCGTGCTTGTTTGCTCGGTCGATATCCGATATCCGGTGGTGGATTACGACAGGACAAATAAATTACAGCACTAACAACTGCTGCTGTGCAACGCCGCGCAAGACGACCAACCAACACTCACTCCAACACTCACACTCGCCACCCAATTCTCACTCCCAACACACCACTACCGTGATGGCGCTGGCAGACATTGTGCACAAGGGCTTTGTGCTGGGGCTGGTTGGCGTGACGCTGTATTATGGCACGTTTGTTGCCTTTCGCTCTGGGGACGTGATTGCGCGCTATCAGGCAAACAAGGCCGCCAAGGACGCACAGAACAGCACTGACACCGACACAGCCGTGCTCGACGCAGCAGCGCAACATCAACAAGGGGCGTCATCATCCTCCAACAGCAACAACCAGTAGCACACCGTGTCCTGTTCTGTGTACCTGTGTGTTCTGTTGTGTGTGTGTGTGTGTGTGTGTGTGTGTGTGTGTGTGTGTGTGCGCGCGCGCGCAAGTGTGTGTGTGTGTGTGTGTATCTGTGTTCTGTTGTGTGTGTGTGTGTTGTGCGTGTGCAAGTGTGTGCTTCATTTTAACCGCTTGCACGCACGCAGCCGGTTGTATGCCTGCGCCCGCCCGTGTTTGTAAGTATGCGCTTCCTCTGTGCACGGTCAGTCGTGCTTTGAGTGTCCTATGACGGTGTCACTCCCCTTGACCCTTTCCTCCTCCTTCCCACTCTCTCCATCCCATCCCCATCCCCCCTTCCGTCATTGCACCGCCTGTTCTTTGTTTCAACACGAAATAGAACACCCCAACCATCCATCCTTCTTCAGTTCATGTTGTTAAGTTCTTGTATTGTTCCATCAACTGCGTGGGGAAGAGGCCACGCAGTGACACAGAAGGACACAATGAGGGCAGTGACGGAAGCAGCGCAATGATCAACTGAACCAAACACAACGAAAGGCAGGACACGAACAAACACAGCCAACACAGGAAGCGGCCAGCTCGATGAAAACAACGACACGGACGAAGTAAGGCTGCAACAGCAGCTAGTCTGCCGGACAGTGAGTCAAGGTCACAGAACACACATAACACGTGCGCGTGTGCACGCTCGAGCGCGCTCACCAGTTTGAAAAGAAAGGAAGGAAGGGAAGAAGAAGTAAGGAGAGGAAAGAAAGGAAGGAAATGTAACACACAAGCGGGTGCTGACAGAGCAGACGCAAAGGGGCGTGCTACAGCAGAAAGGAAGGAAGGAACGTGGGCAGGTGACCGGAGTACGTGTTCATGCATCTACAACAGATGCAACAACACTCCATGCGCACCATCCATCTCAGGCAACAATCTGGGTCTGGTCCCAGTTGACATTGACAAAGGTGGAGAAGTTGAGCACGGAGGACAGGCGGCGCGTCATGCGTGGCTGCAGCGGCTGCTGCTGCTGGTCGCATTGCTTGGTGCTGGCGTCGTTCACGGCAGTCGCGCACGTGGCCTCTGCGACGGCGTTCTCCTGCTGCTCGTTCATCTCGTAGTCGGAGCTGTCCTTGCGGCTCGACAGCTCCTCTGTCGCCTCACTCGCATCGTCATCGTGCGCAGGCGTTTCATCGTACGTGGTTGTGTCGTCGTTGCCATCAGCACTTTCCACCTCAACGCCCTCCTCGTCATACTCTTCATCACCAGCAACAGCAAGAGCGGCAGTGCCATCAACCTGCAGCAGCTGCTCCTCCTTGTCCTCCTCCTCAATGTCGTGTTCGCAATCAACAGCGTCATCATTGGCGTCGCTGCCATCGTCGTTGAGCCACGACAGGTCGAGCTCAGAGACGGTGGATGCGCGCCTGTACACGGCGCCCGTCACGTCCCGCGCCGTCGCCGCTGTCTCCGCACACATGTCCACGTCCGCAGACGTCATCTCAAACGACACCTCGTGATGCGTCATCGCCGTGTCGGCGACAGGGGTGGCGTCGGTGGTGTCACTCGTTGTCTCCTGTTCCTCGAAGGTGTCGCGGTAGTCCTCCACCTCCGGCGTGGTGGTGGACGCATCGTCCATCTCCTCCATGTTGAGCACCGTGCCCTCCGCATAGTACACGTCATCGTTGCCTTTCTCCTCATCTTCTTCCTGCTGCAGTTGTTGTTGCTTCTCAGATGCAGCAGCAGCGGCAGCGGCAACATTGCTGTCTGCTTCTGCAGCCACAGCCGCTTCCTCCGTCATCTCCTCTTCCTCTTCCTCTGTCACCTCCTCTTCCTCTTCTTCCTCTTCCTCTTCCACCTCTTCCACCTCCTCTTCTTGATCGTCGGTGCTGGTCGTCTCCTGGAGGTTGCCGCCCAACAGCACCACCGTGCGCACAGTCTCCGTCTCCGTCTCCGTCTTCTCCTCCTCCGCTGCTGTTGCAGTAGTGCCTGGCGCATCCTTGCCTGCAGGCACGGCGTCAACGACGCTCTCTGACGCCTGCTGCAGCCCAAACACAATGCGGGGGCGCAGCGTGGTGGCCGGCGCGGAGAGGCTGCTGCCGCGCGTGAGCGACTCAAACAGCGCAACGGCACTGCGCACAGACGCATCCCCACCCTTGCTGCTGGTGGTGGCGCTGGTGCTGGTAGCAGTGACACGTGAGCGCGTGCGAGCGCGGTAATCGTCGGGGGTTGCGCCCTTCACGACGGCGGTGGTGGCACGTGCCCGCTCCATCTGCGCCTTGCGTGCCGTCACCACGTCGCACAGGGATGACCCGCGCGACACGGGCGTCGACGGCGTCGTGCTTGCACGCAGCGTGGCGGCGCTGCCCGTCTTGGATGTGGACGGCGACAGATGCGGCGTGGACGCATTTCTGCTCTGCGATTCGAAAAACGCGCGGCGGCTGCTGGTGCTGCCTGTGCGGGCGAGCACGGGCGTGGACTTGAGCGACGTCGTGCTGCTGCTTCTGCTGCTGCTGCTGTTCTTCACGCGCGACAGGCGGGAGCGCGCTGGCGTGGCAGTGGCAGAGGCAGCGTTGTTCTCAAACAGAGAGCGAATGTCGCGCACATTGCGTGAGCGCGCCGGGCAGGCGATGTCCGAGGTGACGCTGCTCTTCACCACCACCGCATATGCACCGCTGCCCTTACGGGACGGTGTTGGCGTCGTCGAGTCACGGCGAAGCGATGCCGCCGCCGTCTTCGTGGCCACACGGGCGGTGGCAGGGGTGGTGGCTGACTCGCCTTGATCCGTGTTGTTTGCTGCAGCGGTGGTGTTCTGCTCCTCCATTTGCTGCTGCAGTTGTTGCTGTTGCTGCTTCTTCTTCTGCAGCGGGGTCGTGCACATGCCGAAGCGGCTGCTGGGCAGGAACATGCTGGCGGGGCTGGACGCGGTGGAGGCGACGGCGGCAAACTTGCTGTGGATCTTCGACACGCTGTTGTCCCGCTTGATGGGCGTGGCTGCCGGCGTCGCTTGCTTCTTGCTCGGCGTGGTGGTGCTCGTGTTGAAGCGAGACAGGCGGTCGCGCACGCTCGGTGCCGCGGAGATGGTGTTGAATGCGGCGCGGGCGTGAACCTTGGTGGCAGCGGAAGTGGTGTTGTCATCAGCAGAGGCGCCTGTCGTTGCTGTTGTCGTGGACGTGGTTGTTGCGGTCTTCACAGAAGGCGTGGCTGGCGTAGCAGGTGAAGCTGGTGTGGCGTCTTGCTTGATCGCAGCGGCAGCGGCAGCAACAGTGGTGATAGCAGTGGCCTCTTTCTGCTTTGACGGCGTGGCATCGTTTCCACTCGTCAGATTGAGCTTGGTGGGGATCATGACAGACCTGTTGTGCGTGCATGCGACATGGTGTGTGATGGTGTGTGATGGTGTGTGATGGTGTGTGTTGTGAGTGTGTGTATGTGTGTGTGTATGTGTGTGTGTATGTGTGAGTGTAAGAAAAACAAACACGGAATACCAACGCGGTGCAGCAAGTGCAAGTGTAAGGATCTCGGCAAACAGGCAGCAGAGCAAAAACTCACGATGGGGCGTCGTCGGTTGTTCCGTCCTTGGCAAAGGTGTAGCGGCCCTTGCGCTTGAAGAGCTGCTTAAAGTGGGGCTTGCAGAAGACCTTTCCGTCCAAGGCAGCGTACGTGCCTGTGGAGAGTGTCTTCTTGCATTCGCTGCACTTGAAGCACGTCTTGTGGTACACCTTGTTGTCTGCGGCAACCTTCTCCATGTAGTACACGGGGCGAGTGCACACGGCACAGGCGTCTGCCTGCGGCGGTTTCCAGCCACCGGCTGAAGAGACAATAACGGTGGGGAGATGGGAAGGCGGGTCAGAGGCAAACGAATGCGATGTGAGAAGCACACGAAGAGGTGAGCTCCAACACAGACACACAGTAACAGACACACACACGCGCGCACACACACACAACATCACCACATCCACCCACACATCCACCCACACAGACACACACAGACACACACAGACACACACAGACACACACAGACACACACACACACACACACACACACACACATACACACACCTTTGCGGTGGGTATTCTTGGCGGTAGCCTGCATGGCGGTGGTGCTGACTGTCAACTCAAGATCAATCGATCCCGTGCACGGCGGATGTATGTGTGTATCGACTGCTGGTTTGTTTGTTGCCTGGCTTTGGTGGCGGGCGGTGGCTGCGTTACTTGGTTGAAGGTCAAGATGGCAAGTTTTGTCAAGCAGATGGGTGGTTGGAGAAAGTGAACACGACTCGGCGATTGGTAGCACCCAATGGAGGAGAAGTCGAAGGTGACAAACACCTCAAAAAGGTAAACACAACGAACGACTGGCTGGGGCGAAGAAATCAAAACAATGCCCTCTCCCAACCCATGCATGCGCTGTCAGCTGGTTTGGTTGCAGTGCGTGCGCGCGCGCGTGCGTGTTTTCTCTCCTGTGGAATGGAATGGTGTGCGGCATGCGCTGCACGCCACCCACGCAGCCACCATCGCTTCTGGCACGGTGGGGGCTGCTGACGAACCACACGATTGCGAAGGAACGCGCGGCGGCACAACAACAGTTTGCGACGGCATAAATATGGAGAACGACAGGCGACACACGAAGATGACCACGGTGATGATGATGCGGCGAAAGAAGACAGCTGCACCCAAGAACAACAGCAGCAGCAGCAACGTGTCCTGCTGTTGTGGGGCGTGGCTGTTGGTGGCCGTGCTGGTTGTGATGGCTGCAGGTGTCGTCGGCACAGTGGATGCAGCCACCAACAGCACGACCAATGTCACCACCACAACTGCAGCGCCCACAACCACAACAAGCACGGCCGTGGTGATGCTGAACAGCAGTGTAACAACAGTGATGCCTGCAAGCACCACTACTTCAGCAACTAACCCGACTGCAACAAGCAGTGGCAAAGTGGACACGACAACGAGTACAACGACCACGACGACAAGTACGACGACCACAACAACTACCACGACGGTAGTTGTGCCACCAGCTTCAACAACGACGACGACGACGACGACTACCACGAGTACTACGACGACCACTACAACGACGAGTACTACGACGACCACAACAAGCACAACAACAACAACAACAACAAGCACAACAAGCACAACAACAACAAGCACAACAAGCACAACAACAACAACAACGACAAGCACAACAACAACAACAACAACAACAACAAGCACAAGCACGACGACGACAACAACAAGCACCACCTCCAATGCGACGTCGACAACCTTGACGACCACCACGACCACAACAACCCTTCCCTCAACTACAAGCACGAGCTCGTCAAGCATAAGGTGAGCCTGAAACCTCTGATTGCCAACTCGCGTCCATGCAGACCTGCAAGCGAGGTCTCCCATTCCACCCTTCACTCACATCACGCTGTCTTTGAACCTGTCCAGTGTTGCCCGAGGTCCTGTGTTGTTCTTGGTCTCACATCACGCTGTCTTTGAACCTGTCCAGTGTTGCCCGAGGTCCTGTGTTGTTCTTGGTCACACAACTGCTGCTGCAAGGCGTCGTGCCTTCCCAGGTATGGTATGGTGTGTGTGTGTGTGTGTGTGTGTGTGTGTGTGTGTGTGTGTGTGTGTGTGTGTGTGTGTGTGTGTGTGTGTGTGTTTGGTGATTCGCACTGTATCTGACGTCTATTTCATCGCCTGTCTCATTGCCAGCCTCATCACCTGCAACCTCACCCTTCCTGCACCGCACCGCCTTGTACACTCATTCACTCACCGTCAGGTGACCATCTTCCGTGTTGAAGAAGTGCGTCCCATAAGACCTGGTGAGTCTTGCCCCTTATACCTCAGCCTGGCTGCGTGCATCTGAGTTCATGCACGAATGCCATCCAACTCTCATCAACTCTCATGACTGCATGACTGCATTGTGCAATCGTCCTTCTTCTTTCTGCCTCCTTCTTCGCTCAATTCCTTGTGAGTAGAGCTCGACCAGGCGCTGGTTCACTTTCAAGTGGAGCTGCGGTCCACCCGCATCATGGCCACAGCAGCGCGGATCCAGTCTCCCGCGTTCATCGACGCAATCACACAGCTCTCCCTCGTGCAAACAGCAACGGTGCGCATGTGCGCTTGTGCGGGTGTGCGCATGTGTGTGTGTGTGTGTGTGTGTGTGTGTGTGTGTGTGTGTGTGTGTGTGTGTGTGTGTGTGTGTGTGTTTGTATTTGTGTCGTGTAAAGCAGTGTTGTTGTCTCTGTGGTTTTTGAGGGTTCCGCAACACAGTCTCACAGCAGCAGCCAATTCACTCAAACACTGCCTAGGTGGTGAATGACCCCGATGTGCAGTCGGACCCGCACGTGTTGTCAACCACGACCACATCGACAACAGTTTCACAAACCACGCCCGGCTCCAGTGCATCCACGGGATCAACCAACGATATTGTCATGTTCGTGAAGTGCAACATTGTGTCGGCTTGTGAGTGTGTATGTGTGTTTGTGCGTGTGTGTGTTGTGTGTGTGTTGTGTGTGTGTTTGTGTGTGTGTGTGTGAGTGTGTTTCTGCGTGAGTGTGAATGTGTGTGTGTGTGTGTGTGCGCGCGCGTGTTCACCCGCCCAATTGCCTGTCAACAAAATGCAGCCCTGTGATTGGTGCCGTCGCTGGCGTGATGGCGGTGCTGGTTGTACTGCTCCTTACCCTTCTACTTTGTCGCGGCCGCTCCTTGGCAAAGGTGGGTAACTTAACAATGCACCTTGCTTTTGTTCTGCTGTTGCTTTGTTGGACTTGCTTGTGTCTGTTCGTGTTTGTCACGCAACACAGCTGCAACGCTGCCCCCGTGTCTCATCATGGCATACTCACCTGTGCGCGCATGCATATGTTTGTAATCACTTCAGGTTGGGCTGGAGGAAGACGGAAACGAGGCCCTTGCCATGCAGCCACCCCGAGGAACATCTCGTGAGTAGCGCGCTTTGCCTCGTGTTTATGCGCGCGCTTGTTTGACCTACTAACATGAATCGATGAATTACTGAACGCACAGCAAGAGCACAGGCGACAAGCAGATGTCAGACTGACCGTTCGTCCTTCACACACGCACATGCACACACACACACGCACACACACACACACACACACACACACACACACACACACACACACACACACACACACACACACACACACACACACACACACACACACACACACACACACACACACACACACACACACACACACACACACACACACACCACGCGCGTACAGGACGGCGGCGGTTGGATGGCTCCACGTCCCAGCAGCCCATCCTCGACAGCACCGACGACTATGATGGCGGTGGTGGTGGTGGTTATGGAGCCACCATGACACACCCCGTCATCAGTGAAACGCCACTCATTGCTTTTCCGCAGCCGCCTGCATCTCCACCTACAACAACTACAACGCCGGCAGCAGCAGCGGCACCTGTACAGCGCGAGCAGCAACAGTCGTCCCTGCAGGCAACGCCATCATCCGACATCAACTTGGCGATTCTCGCTGGTCTCCTCTCCGAGTCATACGCAGACTTTGACCCCGCCAAGACGTGCGTACCACTTTGCATGTGTGTGTGTGATATGTTTCTAAGTCGATCTTATCCATTGCAACGCTGTGCTCATTCATTCCTGTTTGCATGTTGCCTGGCCATTCATTCCATCATCAGGCTGGAGCAGGAAAACGCCATGGCAGACGAAGAGATGACGGAGCAAGCGCGTTTGAAACAGGAGACGCATCGACTCCTGCAGTCATTCCGTGAAGCCCTCAACCTCTCGCAACAGGACATCGAGGTGTGTGTGTGTGTGTGTGTGTGTGTGTGTGTGTGTGTGCGTGTTGTGTTGTGTGTTGCAGAAGCTGCTGCTGAAGCACATGTTGCATGCTGCGGTTGCTTAAAATTCGGTCTTCCGTGGTTGACACTTCGTGTCTTTGTGTTGCTTGTGTTGCTTCCTTTTGTAGAACGTGGATGTGCAAGCACTGTGCGTGCGCCTTGCGCGCGAGCGAAGAATTGCGCTTCCATCTGCATCCATGCGGGCAACGGGACGTCCAGCACAACGGCAACAACAGCAGCAGCAGGTGAGGCAGACACGTGACTTGTGCCGTGAAGGTTGACATGCTTGCGCTTGTCCACGGCAACAATTGTGGTGGCTTGTTGTGTGTGCTGGTGAAATTGCGGCTTTACACACATGTGCACACATGTGCACACATACACACACATGTGCACACATACACACATACATTCATACACGCACACACACACATACATTCATACATACGCTTGTGCAGGAGCTTGCGCCTCAGGAGCTGCAAAAGTTGAAGGAGGAGTACATGCGAAGCGGGGCGTTGTCTGAGGCGTCGTACGAGCGATTGGCCATGCAAGGGTTTTCAAAACGCCAAGTGGACAGGTTCATTGAGCGAAACGCGCAGTTTATCCTGGGCAGGTCGCCCCCACCGCCGCTGTCGTCGTCGGAGGCGTCGTCGTCGTCGGGACCAGCCGCAGCTGACCACGTGTATGGGCGGGTGAACGCTCCCCAACACGTTGCAGCAAGGTATCAGCAGCAGCAGCAACAACATCAGCAACAGCAAGCGCAACAGCAGGAGGTACAACAAAGGCAGCAGGCACAGCAACAGCAGGAGCAGGCTGCTGAGGACGTGAAGGAAGAACCGCCGATGCCTCCGCCGCGAAAGAGCGATGTGATCGGCAGCAAAGCGTGGGCGTGGCGACCAGACGGCAAGGACGCGCACGATCACAGCGCCATGATGGCAGAGCTGCAGTCAAAGCAACAGCAGGAACAGTCACACTACGGCGTTGTCACAGCACACCAGCAACAACAGCAACAGCAGCGACTGCAGGAACAGCAATACGGCGTGGTCACAGCGCAGCCTTCAACATATTCATCGTCGCAACAGCACGCCCCGCAACCGCCGCCGTCAACTGCAGCACCAACGGCCGGCAGTAGCAGCAGCCGACGCAGAGCATCGCATTTGCCCTCTTCGACAACGACACAGCAAGACGTGCGTGGCGTGATGCGCTGTGTGTGTGTGTGTGTGTGTGTGTGTGTGTGTGTGTGTGTGTGTGTGTGTATGTGTGTGTGTGTGTGTGCTGATTCACAAAAGCTCATTCGATCACATGCTTGTTGTTTGTTGCGGCTGTTTGGGCACAGGATTCCGTGGATGATCTTTTGGCGAGTTTGATAACGCCGGCAGTCAGAAAGAGGCTGCGGAAGAAGTAGGCAGGCAGTGTGTGTGTGTGTGTGTGTGTGTGTGTTGAATCAGGTGCAGTTGGATTGCATTGAGCGTGTATCATTTCATTTGGTTGATGCCGGAAAGTGCGGCTTGTGTGGTGTAAAGATTGCTGTCAGAACAGTACATGTGCAAGGGGGACAACGCAATCGAGCAAGTCCACATCAAAACATCAGGTTAAGAAAGCAAGTGGAGAACAGGCATGTCACAGTTCAAGCAAGAAGTGAATGGTTCAGCATCCCGGGTCGATGACGAGAACGGAATCAGCATGGTCTGGGATGCCGTAGATGAGGCCGGTTGGAGCGAGCACGCCACCCCACCACTTGTTATCGCCTGCAAGGTCGCTGATGGTCGTGGTGTCGGTGGCATTGGTGGTTGGATCGATGATGAGGACGGATGGGGAGGTGTGTGGGATGCCAATGATGTTGCCATTGGGTGCAAGCACGCCGCCGATCCACTTCGAAGAGCCGGTTGCATCTGCAACGACAAGCTCGGCGGTGGTGTTGGTGGCCGGATTGATGACAAGTGTCGTCGCAGAGTATGCTGGGATGGTGTAGATGAGCCCGTTGCCAGTGATTACGCCACCAAACCATTTGCTGCCCGTGCCCAAGCCGCTGATGGTGGTGAGGTCCATTGTAAGAGACTCTGGATTGATGATGAGAACAGAAGAAGCTACGAAGGGAAAGCAGTAGATGAGGCCGCTGTCTGCTTGCACACCGCCATACCATTTGTATGCCTGGCTCGACAGTCCGGACAGCGTGGTGATATCGGCTGTGTTGGTATCTGGATCAATGATCAGCACAGAGGTGGCAAAGAAGGGGATGCCGAAGATGAGGCCGTTGCTGGCCACCACACCACTCCACCACTTGCCTCCACCAGATCCCAGCGAGTGGATGCTTGTGGTGTCAACGGTGTTGGTGTCTGGATTGATGATGAGCATTGTCTCCCTGTTTGATGGGAACATGTAGATGAGGCCGTTGTGTGCCAGCACAGCACCACCCCACTTGTAGCTGTCTGTTCCAAGTTCGGAGATTGTGGTCGTGTCAACGGTGTTGGTGCTGGGATCGATGATTAGCACGGAGGGCGAGTCGTAAGGGGCAGCGTAGATGAAACCGTTGCTGGCAAGCACACCCCCGCCACGCCACTTGTTGTTTCCTGCTGAGCTAAGCTGCCCAAACGTGCTGGCAGTCGCCTCACACACCCTGCCTCGAAGAGCTTCGATCGTGCTCTGTTGGGCTTGAAGCGTGCTGTTGTGTGCGGCGATCATGCTCTGTTGCGCCTCAACAGTTGACTGGTACGCCTGCAGCATGCTCTGCTGTGCCGCTACGGTTCCACGCAGCGTTTGAACCTCCGAAACGACGTCCACGCCATTCAGGAACACGGGCTGATTCGCTGGGTCACTCGAATTGACGTGCATCGCGCCGCTATCATCTTGCGCCACCTTGGCCCTGTTTGGTGTTGGTGGTGTGGCGATGGCCTCGACGCGGCACACGCACACAACCAGGAATACAACCAAAACGGCTAAAACGTCGACAGTGGCTGGCGTCAGACTCCTCATCTTGGCTGGTGGTCTTGTTTTGCGTTTTGTTTGGGGTTGTGGAGGAAGACGGAAAAAAATAATTACGTGGAAGTTGATGTGGTGTGCCAAAGCTCCCACAGATCGCTTCCCTTTTCTCGCTTCCTTTCCTACACTCTTCTCTTTCGCTCTATTGTACAGCACAAGTGGCAAGGGCAGCACATCACAACGTTGCGCAGCAAACAAGGTTTCCGTGAGCGCCGCCCACTGTTACAGTTGCCATCATCATCAAACAAAAGGCAGGGCCGTCGGCGTGTCGTCGCTGAGGAAATGCTTGATGAACATCACTTTCCGCTCCCCATCCACTGCCAATTGCGAGTGGGATGAGAGAGAGAGATGATGATGATGATGATGATGATGATGATGATGATGATGATGATGATGGACAAGCAAACACAGTAAGCTCAGCAAGCTCAAACAGAGTCGTGCCACTCCGACGATGCAACTTGTGAAATCGCAGGGTCCAAACGCAACACAAACTTGCATGCACGCATGGTTGTGTGCTCACTCACGGTTTGTTTCGCGCCAGGCCAGGTCCTCGCGAGGACTCCGAAGAAGAACGCGTGCGAAGATGGCGACTGAGGAATGTGGCGGGAAGAAAGCACGCAACACGGGTGTCGTGGGCAGGTGGTGAGCGGAACACGGGCACAGGACAAACCAGAGTGCAGCAGTATGTACACGTCATCGTGCCACAGTCAGAGGGTTGCTTGCACGCACCGAGCACATCTGGAACGACGTCGTTTTGATCGCGATGTTGGATGATGGTGTCGACGAATCGTATCAGATACTCAAACGCCAGGCGGTGCGCAGTCGGCAGCTCCGCCTCAAGCTGTAAATATGTGTGTGAATATGTGTGCGTGTGTGCATGTGTGTGTGAATATGTGTGTGTGTGTGTATGGAAGCAAAGGGTGTGTGATGTATGAGGACTCGGTGATGTGAAGCAGCACACGTGTGGTTGCGAGAACGTCAACAAACATGCGCGCACAGGAAACCTTACCCCCCCCCCACACAACACACACACAATCAGCTCACGCGTTTGGAGAGGGTTGCTGCGTTGGCGTGGTCGAGGCACTGCGTGTACATGCTGAAAGGCACGACGGGGTCTGCAAGCGATTCCAGGAAGAGAATGAGCGCCTTGAGGGCACAGCTTGCGGACATCTCTGCGGGGATTTCCTCGCACATGTCCAGGCACCGAATCACGCGCCGCACGTCGTCATCGGACACCATCGCCTGCATCAGCGCAGGCTGCGTTGCATGGCGCGAGACCGCGAGGTGAAGAAGGGGGGGGGGTTTAAACGCACACAACTGCGTGCGTGTGTGTGTGTGTGTGTGTGTGTGTGTGTGTGTGTGTGTGTGTGTGTGTGTGTGTGTGTGTGTGTGTGTGTGTGTGTGTATGTGTGTTTGTGTATGTCAATGCGTGTGA